TTGCACCACATGATATTTAATGAAATGGACACGATCGGACAAAATTTGTTTGTTTATTATGAAAAAAATATAACTGCAAAAGCTTTGCAATTTTGTACAGGAATAAAAAACACTTTGAAAATTATGCCAAATATTGCAGAAACTAAATTGTAATAGATTTAGAGTAATTTCAAAGAAGTTTTCAAAACAGAAGTCATGGCTGGATGGTCACACCACATGATATTTTGACACTTTTAAGTTCAGAAAAATTACAAAAAACTCCTGATTTTTGAAAAGTTGAAGTGGCTCCATATATTAAAGAGATACTACACATAGATAGTATATTTTTTTACATTTAAAACTCTTTGTAACATAAAGAAAATACAGCTGGACAGAATATTAAGGCGTCACGTCATTGACCCACACATGGATCAGGGATTTTGGAATTTATCAGATTCACTATTTCCTGCTTGTGCTTGACTTCCCGTCTGATGTTATCTGCTCTATGCAGATTGATGTGTGTTGGGAGTGTAGAGCGTCAAAAATGGACTTGGTGTGTCTATCTTTTGTGTCAAGATGGAGCAGAGACAGAGCAGAGATGCTTCCTGTGTGCAATGCTGCACACTTAATTAGGGTGGGATATGGCCTATGACTATAAACAAAGCTGTTCTGCACCTCTCTGACTCGTTTGTTTGTGAGGCAGACATCGCTTCCTCGTGCTGGTTTGTTGTGAGGCATGCTCCACACTCTCAAATAACATGCACGAGTGAGCCCAAACAGTGTTAGATCCCAATCTGACCCCTACACACTCACCCTCCGTTTGTGCATTCCTGTGGAGGCTCCGCCATATTAAAGGCCGTCCCAAACCATGAAGTGCGGAAGGTGGGTGGACAGTTAGGCCTTAAATAGTGAGTCTGCATTGATGTACACTTACAGCTGGATTTGCAGGTAGTGAGCCAGCAAAAATGGAGGAGGAGGAAACAACAGACAAATAAAAGTTCCATATGTGTCCACCTTTGTCTCACTGACAAAAAAATAGATAAATAAAGACGTGGTTTGGATGAAAAATGAAACTTGGATATCTTGCTCTTTGCTGATGTAAGATTTAATTGTGCAGGCACGTGTCAAATAGTAAATGGGTCTAACTCATTGAATTCATTGAATTTAACTCAGGAAGGTCAATAGGTGCAAAGTAACTAAGGTGCACTGGAGGCCGTAGGACTCCACAATTCCAAAGTTATTGAAGAGAAAAAACATCTGTTGAAGGCAAGACATTACTAATTTTACCTCTTATTTTTAAGATTTTTTTCATCAAAGAAGCTCAAGAAGTCATCGATGCTGAGAGCTAAGGGAATACAGTGCTCAATTGTGCTCTGACAGTCTGTCAGCCTGGCTACAGTGCTCAAGAGATACCTAGGGTTGTTCTTGTTATCTTCAATAACAAGTAAGCTGCCTGAGCATGTCGCAAGGCCTTCCTATATTTATTAAGACAGTCCCACATGAGAATGCATTCTTTAGCTGTTTTGGAAGAGCGCCAATCCTTTCTTGTTTTCTTAATAACTGTTTAGGCTAATGAGTTTCAGCATTATACCACAGAGGCAGCCTCTGGCGTTTAACATTTTTCTGTTGAAGAGGAGCAATTGAGTCAAGAATGACTCGCAATGAGCCTGAGGTATCATCGACAAACTGATCAAGTTGCAAAGGACTAACACTTAAGTATGACAGGGTTGCCAAGTTTCAGAAAATGACAAGAGTGAGACTTGAGCGTTATGATGTGTTTGTCGATTTATACCTTAAGACTGTTGTCCTCACCTCCATGCCAGCTGCTCTCCCTGCACCGGGGCCTCCTAAAGCTAGTGTTAATTAACTAGAAATTAGAAATGAAAATTGTCACAAGAATTTTTACAAAATACATTTATTTGTCAATATTGCATTTCAACCAATTCTCAATCATTTAGCCGGGGACAAGATAGTAAGAGAAGCAAAGACTTGACTTGCTTCTGATTGGTTTGTATCGCATGGTGCCTTCCATGGCTGGTTAGATTTGGGCACAAAGAACTGATGGATTGGTTATCTCGGTCACTCAATCAGAGTTACTCGAACTACAGCAAGCCAAGTTTATTATCATGAAAAATGTAAAGAGTATTTAATAGGGAATAAGCATGAAAAATGTCAAGTGTGGCGTGTGGTGTGAGAATGGGTCAAATTGCGTCACTGTCACACTCAAAGCGTGACGCTTGGCAGCTCTGCAACTCCCTAGTGAGAGCTCCAGTATGGTCAGTACTAGGGTTTAACTTTCCACTGGCTTCTGAGTCACAACATAGGCTAAGCTTGCAGCCCTCCGATCTTGCACTGTAGCCTAAGGAACATCAAGGCAAAGACAAATCCTGCTAAAGACCCAAGCTGTTTACCAAGGTGACAGATCCTATCAGGCGAGCCTTAGCCAGAATTCGTATCGGGGGACAAGGGACTGTGACTCTGCGAACTTCACATGGGATAAGGACACTCTGTCGACACAAAAAGAAAAGGTAGGAGATTTCCTAAAATTTGGTTGAGAGTTCTTTTCCTTGTGAGGTGGTGCAGACTATTGTTACTTTGCCCTCTTTGAATCAAAGAACCTAGAATAGAAAAGACAGTGGGAATGAAGACAGCCTGAGAAAACTGCATGCGTGCAGTCAGCTGATCAAAAAGTGCTAAATTTCAGAAAGGAAGCCACTTAAAACTGGGTATAAATCAGCTGAATATAGAGGAAACTGCAGCGGGTTGTGTGAGACCATTATATGTGGAGCTAGTTAGACTGGGTGCGGAGAAGCACAAGGCCAGTAGTTGAGTGGAACTAGCTAGACTGGGTGCGGAGCAGCACAAGGCCAGTAGTTGTGTGGAGCTAGTTAGACTTAGTGCTAAGCGGCACAGGCCAGTAGTTGTGTGGAGCTAGTTAGACTAGGTGCGAAGCGGCATAGGCCAGTAGTTTAGGGGGAGACGGGTGTATTTTAAGCTTTCTAGACTGGGTGCGAAGGAGCATAGGCCAGTAGTTGGGTGGACACCGGTCTGCAGACAGCCTGGCCCGGGCTGTGATGTGTTCGTTTTTAGGCTGAATGCCTGGTGATAAGAAGGTCTGGATAATTGTTGAGATAACAAGGGGAGCGGCGGGCATGAGTGTGTCTGTCCATTGTTGAACTGTGAGTTTTAGGTCATTCTTTTATGAGCTCTGAAAGGGGGTGGCCGATGGACAAGCAGAATCATCTAGTAATACATATGTGGATTTTCTTTCTGGAAAACTCCACTAGAAAGGAGGATTTGTCATGCGGAGTTCCGCTGAGGCTTAAAAAAAAGCCAAAAGGAGAACAAAAGTGACATATTTCCTCGGAAAAGTTAATACATATCTGATTATATTTCTTTTGCCGAAAGAGACCTCACAAAATCAATGTTATAATTCGACTTAAATTACAGATACAGATTGGCTTGAGGTGCGCAGGAGATAGAAAAAGAGGTCGATTAGGATAGGCTGAAAAGCCTATTCAGGGATCCCAATTGCACAACATGGCCCATATCTCCTGACCAATTGTAGAAAAATCACACAAATTGGAAAAATCAAAACAAGAATCAAAAATAAAAACTGAGGACTGACCCTCAACACATTAATTGTAGGAATGTTAAAAAAGTACAAAACACTTCAAATTAATTTAAAGTAAGAGTAAAGAAGGTGAAGACTGCTGACTGACCCCGGTGACCGACTTTGACTTAAGGCAAACACGTGTGAAAGGGTATACCATTGTGTGATGAAAAAGTGAAGTGTGTAGGTTGATTGGATGGTTGTGTGTGTCCGTTTTGCTCTGTGTCAACAAGTTCTCTGGCAGTGTTCACAGCCAGACTCTGCATCTGTGTGTGTGTTATGTTAGTCAAGAGTCAAAGATTGCTGATTTTTTGTTGTTTACACATGACTTATGCTGCCTAACAAATTTTCTGTGTTAAAGCTGCTGAAATAATGTTTGTGAAAGTATAAAAGATTCAAAAAGGGGAAAAAGAAATGAGGTACCACGAGTGCAAAACTTCTAAAACTTCAAATCTAAGGGTTGCTTTTATACATCTGCTGCTTCTGCCAAAATACTATGTTTTTTTAAATATTATTGAAGCTGTTAATACCAATACTGAATATTACTGTGGGACTTCAGTTAATGCAAAAGCTTTGTACTGTGTATTTTTTGAGAATTTTACGAAACCACTGGGGATCAGGTTTTAATGTGTGTGTTCATTTGAAAAAGTGTTGAAGTGTTGAATGGTGACGCAAGTTAAGATTGAAGTAGGGTGTGGCATTGTGCTGTTTGATTAGTGAATGTGTAAAAGACTGACATTGAAAATATTGTGGCTTTGATTGTGACATAGTTTGAAGTGAGGCAAGGCTTGGAAAAATGGTGCGACAGAGAAAGATCCTGACTTTGTGTCGGGTCTGTTTTGTTCTTTTTTTTCCTTTATCTGTGGCAATGGGTGACTGTGTGTTCTGGATTAGAGATCAGACAAAGATGATAACTGAAAGTTGTTAAAGTTGTGAACAGAGAAGCAAAGTGATGTTTTCCATAGTGTGAATATTTTAACACGAAATTAAGAATTAAAATCAATAATAATAATAATAATGTTAATAATAATAATAATAATAATAATAATGATAATAATAACAAAAGTTATAACTGTTTTCTTTCCAAAAATAAAAACATAGCAAGGGGAAATAGGTTTACAGGAACACTGCTGATCAAGGCTTTAGAACAAAGCAATTCAGTAAAAATAATAAATTCTACAAAAACCATGACCAGAAAGGGAAAATTAGTTTAACTCCAGTTGCATTGGTAGGGTATAAATATCCTGAACTGTCACACTCTGCTGTGTTTCTCAGGCTGACTCTCACTGACCTCCCTGCCACACCTCCTCATCAGCACTGATTCCCCACACCTGTGAGTGACAAGCTGCAGCTCCTCACTGCTGATTAGCCAGCCAGTATTTAAGTCAGTCTGTGTCCCTCATTCAGTGCCAGATTGTCTTCGCAGCATGCAAGACTCTCCAGCATTATTTCTTGGATTGACTTCTCGGTTTCGACTCCTGCCTGTCCCTGACCACGTCTTATTGTCTCAGCCCTTGGATCCTCTGTCAAGTTTCTTCGCTCCGGTGAGAACTTCAGGTTTTGCTGTGTTACTGGCTTCCCGACCTACTGCCTGTCCACGACTATCCTTCCGTCTGATCCCTCTGGAGTCAGTCTGCCCCGCTGATTGTCTGCCTGGATTTGACATTGCCTCCGCTTCGACCAGGAGCCCAGCCTGCCCCTCGACAGTGCCGCTGCACTTCACAAAGACTCTCAGGTGTAGTGTGTTTTCTGTGTGCACTCACCTTTCTGCCTGTTGGACCTGTTTCCTGTTGGTCCTCGATATTATACAGAGACTGCTAAATCATCCCAGTATCTTCAGTTACCTGTTTACTGTGAACTGTTACAATAAAAGTAGCTTCTAAACAACTACCTGCCGTTGTGCTGCACTTGGGTCCTACATCCACACCCCCGTGACACTGAACACTTAAATGATATCCAAAAACTTACAAAGAAATGGGGACATTGAGTCAAGGGGTTAGAACTTTTATGACCTAGGGGAGGCACATCTGATGTGACTGTGTGTGAGGATTTGGAGCAGCAAATTAAAGACCATTAACACAATGATAAAAGTAAAAAACGCAAAAACAAAGATTTGGAACTAAAAGTACTGGACATGTTCAAAAGTGAAGGCCAACACTATTTTATGAATACATTAAAGATTGGGTTTGCAGAGCTAGAAAGCAATAAGGAGAAGGTGGAGAAAAGAGAGTCACAAACATGGAAAATGGGTAAAACAGAAAAGAGATTCTGCAGCCAAATCTAGTATCAGAAAATGTAGGAAATTATCCTTCTCTTTTAGGGAAAGTTAATATATGTGATTTTGAGTTTGCTGAGGGAGACAAAGCCCACAACAAACCTTTGCCCGATTCCCCAAAGTAATGATCATAAGTAATTGTTGTGGGAATGATAATGCTGATTATGCTGAAGTCATATTGGTTTAATCTGGGTAACAATAACATAGACTTGCCACATGAACTCTGTCACCCAATAGTACAAGTAGTAGTAGCACAAATACTTCACAGCTTAGGTAAGAAGCAGGGCCCACAAATATCATGTGACCCTGCACAAAATATGATCTTAGATATAGGCCTAGGTTATGTTCACCTGATAATACATTGATAGTATGTTTTCAATCTTAAAGGGCACACAGGCTAGCTATGTGCCGTGGAAAACCACATACCTTGCTGTGCTGATTGCCAGACTACCACAAACTGAACAGGGGGCAGGGAGATGGATACAAGCTTTTGAGGATGAACTGTAGGGAAAATGTTGACTACACCAGACATGAAAGCACTTTTGGCTTAACTGCTGGGAACCAAGACGATGGAAGAGTTTCTGCACAAGGCAAAACAAGGTTGGATGCTGGGAGTGAGTTCAATGCATATTGTGATGTGATGTGGAGGGCGCTGCGAGATGAAGAGTGGAGACTGAAAGAGCAGGAAAAGCACATTCAGCGGAAGTTGATACAGCTACAGCTGGGATCCTTGCAAAGCAGAAACAAAGTACAGATTCGGGCCACGATAGTGGCCACCTCTAAGGGGGACACTGCAAAAGAGACCCAGCGATGCAGACCGTGCAGATGCTAACTGCAGTAAAGCCTGTGACAGCAACCTGTTTAATCATGTGTTGTGAATGTTTATCCTCAGACAGAACCCTGCTCCATAGAGATGATATAACCCGGCAGGGGGAGAGAGTGGAATCTGACGGACATCTAAAAGCCTGCTGGGAATGTGATCATACTGGACATTTTTGACAACTGCCCAGACCAGGGATGGCTCTGGCTGGAGATGTGGTAGGGGGCCCCAGCCCAGGCAATGTGAAAGTGGTGGCTTTCTACAGTGTGATTTTTGTGGATGATGGAGAGAGTTAATTGTTAGTTTTAATTTTAACCCTTGTTGACCTTATAGACCAAAAAGCCCTATGTAGACGTAAATTTGGTGCTCACCGCAAGGTGTGTACATAGACAGTTATGGTTTATAATTTTAAGTAAATATCTTGACCAAATATGCAAAGGTATATTAACTCGGTCATATTGCTATAATAAAGTATATATTAAGGTTTAAATCCCAAATGTCCAGGTGTCATTGAAAGATGTTTTTGACCCATCATATAGTAAGATGTACTGAGGAGAGGTTGGACGAAAACATTATGGTGTGTCCTTGAGTCCAGTATAATTGGACCTGAGGCTGATGTGTGACTGTCATATTGAGTAATATATCCTCTAAAGCAAGCAGCTGTGAAGGGAACAGAGTTTAACTGAGGGGCCTGCTAAAAACAGGGAGCACTGAGAGGGACAGGAAGAGACTAAATAGACTGGTCAGGAGGGCCGGTTCTGTCCTGGACTGCTCTTTGGACTCCCTGGAGGAGGTGGGTGAGAGGAGGATGTTAACAAAGCTTGTATCCATCATGGACAATCCCTCTCACCCACTGCACCAGACTGTGGGGGCTTTAGGCAGCTCCTTCAGCAGCAGACTGAGACTCCCACCCTGCAGGACGGAGCGCTACCGCAGATCATTCCTCCCCTCTGCAATAAGACTTTACAATGAACAGTAACAAAACTGGATTTACACCACCACTTTTTTTATGGCATTTAAATCGTGTATATTGTAGAAAGCTTTATTTTTTCTTCTCCCTTTTCTAATTTTTTTCTTAATTATTACATTTATTTAAGTTCTTAATATTAGGACCCTTATTGTTATAACTGCATTTTTGCACTTTTTGTCTTGTCTGTGATGCTGCTGTGACAAAAAAATTTCCCCCATGGGGGATCAATAAAGGAATATTCTATTCTATTCTATTCTAAACCGCAGTGCTAATTGAGATCTAGTGTGTAACATTCCTATTCTGTTAGTTTAATACTGATAAATCCAAATACGGCTGTGCTGAATCCGCATACGCTCCTCACAGATGTGTCACCTAATGTAAAAGTATTGGGAAGCTATCAGAGGCCAATAAGGCCACAGAAAATGTTTTAAAGTCAAATAATTATTTTGCCACCAGTAGTATTAACAAACCAACTCAGGATCTGACTTGCACAGTGATTCAAATTGTGCAAGGGGGGAGATAATGAGACAATTAAAACATGAGAGTTTTAGAATATGCAGACAATAGTTGATAAACTCTTGGGTCATTGTGATATGTGTATTCAGATGAATTGAAGAGACCAATAAAACATTAGTGGGACACTTTTCCCGTTCCAGAGAGACGGTTTTAGACATCTATTTATAGATGTCTAAAACCGTCTCTCTGGAACGGGAAAGACATCTTTTAGACATCTATTTATAGACAATGTGGACATGATTAAAACTGCCAAGAGAAATGTTACATGTTTGTAATGATGACAGGTTCGGTCGATGGATGGAAGCAACACCATCAAAAGATCTTGGAGTCAAAACTTTTTTGAAATATTATTGCATGATTTGGTACATCATTTTGGGGAAGAAAGTTAATCTCTCAAGTAAAAATCAGATCAACAAGAATTGCACTAACACTAAACTATAGGAAAATGCTTTACTACTTGCGCTTATGAGCTTTTACGATCAAAAGCACTGTGATAAATCTTTCACTGCATGAATTGTTAACTTACAAAGCTATGCTTTACTGCGGCTAAACAATTAAGCTTTTTGCTTGAGCAGCTGAAAAATTAGTGAATTAAATATATGAGGCTGCTAGCTATGATGCAAATTTCTATCGATTAGCGAGAGGAATGTCAAAATCTGATCCCAGTCAAGAGGTGAAGAAGCCAGTCGAGCCAGAGGACCAGGTGTACATCAAAAGTCCTTTGAGGAGAGTGGCACAAAGAACGAGGAGAAGACCTGAACACTGTGGTTCTGGTTACACCTACTTCAGTGCAAGAAGAGGACAATATGATGTGGCGTCATCTACCACCGACTGCCCAGAAAAACAAGTAGGCTGTATTAGCTGAGCAAGATCGTGTTGGTTCGTTCCACTTCAGTGGGGCAACATAAACTGTGATTCATAAAATAGCCCTATTGATAGTGAGTACTAAAAAAAAATTTCTACTTATGCCATCCGGTCGATTTTTAGTAATCAGTGTTTCGGTGTCGAACTATTTCCTTACTGCAGCATAGTGATACTTGCACACGTGCAATCGAATATGCAGAGGGGTGAAGCAAGTTTTGTCACGTGGACCAATAGGAGCCGAGTCTCGTTGCCATAGTATCAGAAATACACAAACATGGCAAAGAGCGCATCTAGCAGCGAGACAAGCAAAGAGGAAGAAAAGAAAAGGAAAAAAAGAAATCAGCCTTCAAAAGTGCACAAAAAAGGAATGAAACGATGCTATATGCATCTATCATCTGTCCAGAGTGAAGACATTCTCGACTTTACAAGGACACGTTGGGAAACTTACAGAACTAGTATTAGAAAGTGGCTTTCTCTACAGGGTGAGACAAAGGGCCTTGCAGAAACTTATAAACATTGCGTTGATATCGACTTTGACAATGTTCCTGATGACGCTGGGTTTCACATGACATACTACCAGCGATTTATTTGAAAAAGGCGTTTGAGAAAACTCAACGACTACCGACCAGTTGCCCTCACGTCCCATCTGATGAAGGTGCTGGAGAGGTTGGCCTTAGCCCACCTAAGACCGCAGGTCAAGAAGCTCTTAAACCCTCTACAGTTTGCCTACCAGCCCCATTTGGGAGTTGACAATGATGTCATCTACCTGCTGCAACAAGCTCATTTGCATCTGGATGGTGGTGGCAGCACTGTGAGAATCACCTTCTTTGATTTCTCTAGTGCTTTTAACACCATCCAGCCACTGCTGTTGGGTGAGAAGCTGCGGGTGATGGGTGTCGACACCTCCATTGTCTCCTGGATCACTGACTACCTGACGGACAGGCCATAGTTTGTCCGTCTCGGCAGTGTTCTGTCTGACGTGGTGGTCAGTGATGCAGGAGCTCCACAGGGGACTGTGCAGTCCCCTTTCCTTTTCACCTTGTACACCACTGACTTTCAGTACGACTCCGAGTCATGCCACCGGCAGAAATTTTCTGATGACGAGGGGGAAGGGATGGGGAGTACAGAGCAGTGGTGGATAACTTTGTGGAGTGGGCTGGACGCAATCACCTGAGGCTGAATGTCACCAAGACCAGAGAGATGGTCATCGACTTCAGGAAGAAGAGGACAGCTTCACAGCCGCTGTGCATCCTGGGAGAAGATGTGGAGGAGGTGGAGGTCTACAAGTAGCTGGGCATCCATATCAACAACAGACTGGACTGGAAATCCAACACTGACTCTGTCTACAAGAAGGGGATGAGCAGACTCTACTTCCTGAGGAGGCTGAGTTCCTTCAACGTTTGCAGCAAGATATTGGAGATGTTCTACCAGTCTGTGGTGGCCAGCGTACTTTTCTTTGCCATGGTTTGTTGGGGGAGCAGCATTGGCGCTAGTGACACCAACAGACTCAACAAATTGATCAGGAAGGCTGACTCCGTGATTGGCTGCAAACAGGACACTGTTGAGGCTGTGGTGGAGAGGAGGACACTGAACAAACTGTTATCCATCATGGATAACCCTGATCACCCTCTCCACCTCACTCTGGACAGACAGCGGAGCTCCTTCTCCAACAGACTGTTGCAGCTCCGCTGTCGAAGGGACAGATACAGGAAATCTTACCTGCCACAAGCTATTGCACTATTTAATTACTCACATCTGTCAGACAGGGACTCAAATCTGTCTGATGTATAGTCCATTTTTATAACTCCGACCACATCACATTATTGAGCCCCTTAATTTGTCTGTTTATTTATCATCCTATCTGTATAATTGCATTTCATATTTATTACTCATTTAATACTTATTACTCATTTCAATAGCCCACGTTCTTCATATTTCACTTTTTTCTCTCAGGATGTTTAGTATATTTAGTCTGTATTTATTGTATATACTTAGTATTTTTAGTCTTATTGTACTTACTTCTTATATTTAATTTTATCTTGTATTTTTTTGCTGCTGTAACATGAATTTCCCAGTTTGGGATCAATAAAGTCTATCTATCTATCTATCTATCTATCTATCTAAATATATACAGTAAATTTAGCTAAAAGCTTGTTTCATACATAAAAATGACACAACCTACTGTGTAATAAAAGCGATAAAATATAAACAGCACATCATGGCCATAAATGGCTGAAAGTCAATCAAACTGCTACCACGCCCCCCAAAATTGGAATAATCGAAAAAATGTAACAAGACAAAAATAAATGCACAAAAGGTCTGAATTAATTCAAAATATGGTATAAAACATTTATTCAAGTATCGGTGTCAAAACATCTGACATTCAAATCTCAAATCTCGGTGTAGCAATCCTTTAAACAAAACAAATTGTACATGGTGACATGGTGCGTATATTACGCATCACTATCATTTTCATCAGTCATCATCCCATACAGCGTTTCCTTTGAAGCATTCTCACATGCTTGGCACCGACATAAATCTGTACAAGATAGTCTGAAGGGTTTGACTGACCTGCGGTCACATCACGTTCTTGTTTCTCAAACGCCTTTTGCAAATAAATCGCTGGTAGCATGTCATGTGAAACCCAGCGTCATCAGGAACATTGTCAAAGTCTATATCAGTGCAATGTTTATAAGTTTCTGTAAGGTCCTTTGTCTCACCATGTAGAGAAAGCCACTTTCTAATACTAGTTCTGTAAGTTTCCCAACGTGTCCCTGTAAAGTTGAGAACGTCTTCACTCTGGACAGATGATAGATGCATATAGCATCGTTTCGTTCCTTTTTTATGCACTTTTGAAGGCTGATTTCTTTTTTTCCTTTTCTTTTCTTCCTCTTCACTTGTCTCGCTGCTAAATAGATAAATAGAGATCCAAGATGATGCCGTCCATGGCTGCTGTGGTGTTGTGGAGTGTTGTTTTTTGTGTTT